CTCTCCGACTGGCTTCATCTCTAGGAGGACGGTTTTGATATAAGTGTCGCGTTGGATGTGTAGGCTGTGGCAAGCTTGCATTACCTTCTTGTTTACGATGCATTTAGTTCTGCAGTGTTTTTGGGTTTTACTGACAATGCAAGGAGATGCACGTATAGCGTAGTAACACTTCTAAGAGTAAATATGTATCATAGTAAGGCATTTATTATTTGCTATTATAATCAGGATAACTACAGGAGCTACTTTTGATAATAGAAAACTACTATCAAAATTTTGGGTTGACAATGATTTTATTATTTCAAGAAAACATTCAGAAGTCAAATATACCCCATCACAGTATCATTATGACATGGGATAAGAAAATCGTTTAGACATTTTGTGAGTAATAAATTATGTAATCCTCTGTATTTGTGCTTCGTCTCCAACTATCATCGAACAATTTGATTTGAACATTAGGAACTACATGCAGACATGATGTGAGTGCAGCTTGTCCCCACATCATCACTGCAGGCAGGTAGTCGGCAGGGTACTACGTGTAAGAAGAGAGAATGGAATGGTAACGACCTTATGAAACATCTGTCCGAGCACCGCCGGCTCAGGTACTGGGAACAGTGACCGGAAATACCGAACCTCAATAAAGAAACGTCTTGTAAATTCTCGAGACTTCCAGCAACCATCCAATGATGCCAACTCTTCCTTAGAATTCGGAATTAATTACTTTGCCTTTAAGTGACGTTCACACGGTAAAGGAAATTAAAACTTGTTAAGAGTGAATATCAACAAAAGTATCGGTGGGTGATCTTGGCTGTCTTGGTGTCGCCGCGTCGAAGGCTATGAAGCCTAGGTTTCGATTACCTTGTCATGGTCTTCCACAGAGCTGGTCTGGCACCCGGACCGCCAAGAGCACTCACAAGACTGGCCGCAGAAGCGTACGACGTCAAATAATTTATCTGTTCACGTTTTTTCGTGAAGGCTTTAGCTCGATCTTACGCTCCCAGCTTACTGTTTCCCACTTTACATTACTTGCAAAAGTTCGTGAAGCTGGTTCGTTGATCCGTGCGCCGCAGCGTGAGCGGGTGCGTTGCGTCGGCGCGGGAGTGCGTTTTATAAGACGCCCGCATCGCGACGCGGCCGCGGTGCGTTTTTGCGCTTCCGCGCGGGTCGCACGTCCGCGCCCGGGGCAGCTTCCGGAGCCTGGGAGCGCGCGCTCGGCGCTGGACGGAAGCGGCCGCGCTCTTTTCCGAGGTCGCACGCCCCCCCTCCCCCCCCCCCCCATCCACACGCCCTCACTCCAGTTCTCTCGCTCACTCTCGCCCTGCGGCACTCACGGCCTCCCTCAGGCCCTTGATCGCTCACTTTTGTCTGTCGGTTACTAGCCCCTTCCCTCCTTGCAATCAACCCTTAGATTCATTCGCTTATCACGCCCTAGGCACCCATCCCTACACTTGGTCCCCTCCCCCAGCCCCCATACTCAGATTTAATTACAATGGTTCGTGACAGATCGTCAGCTGTGACGCGGTTATCCAATAAGTTTTCAGTACCAAAAATTCATAAGTCATAACTAAGCCTCCGATTGGAGAGCTTCTCACCAAAAATTATTCTTCGGTAAAAACAATACGTCCGTTGACACTTGGTCAGCTGTGACGCTGTCACCCAATTAAGAGCTTGAATATCAATGTCGTGACGTCACCGTAGTGACGTTCAAGCTCCTGATTGGACAGCTGACCGCGTGTCAACGAACTTGCTGTTTTAATCGAAGTGTAAGTAATAAGTCATAATCGCGGATGTAAGCTCCCTATTAGATTAAAGTGTCACCGCTATATCAAAAATCACTCTAACGAAGTATACACTCGTTCACGCACCCCCCCCCCCCCCGTTCCCCTCGCTTATCATTTCTTCCGACCGACCCCCTTCCTTTCGCACACTCACCCTTTTTGCGGCACTTGCTCTCGCCCACATTCTTCTTCATGCTCTTTCCCTCTCGCCAGGCCTCCGGTCTCCCACCCGCGCTTCCCCAGTCGACGCCCTGGGTGCGCAGGACAGGAGATGGGGGGGGGAGATAACCTGCGGTGAAGACCCTCGAGGGCGACGTGCGTGAGACCAACGCGCAATCTGCAATGGAAACCCGTGAGAGCGACTAGGAGGGACGGGCAGCACTCCATGTGTTACCATAGCAACTGCGCGGAATAATACGAAAATTCGCGTTTCGCAATCGTGTTTTTTCAGAGACTTCCTGTTGCATGCCCTTTCAGTTCGCTTCTGAATAACATTTACGGTTTTTGTTTTAAGGCATTATTTTAGGTGTTGTATTATTATCGTTGTATTTGACGCTTTGTGCCCTCTCGAAATACTAACAAACCATTGACGCACTTTTATGCAGGTGTATGTTTGCAATGATAAGATACCTTCAAATTTCTGCATGAGAAACCCGCATGGTTGATGTATTTCACGGAAGTTCCTGAAAACCACCCATTTTACTGTAATATTATACTTTGTATCAACCGCTTGGCTTGATGACAATGTATTATTTCCGAACATTTGGCTTTCGAAATCACGTTCTTTCAGGGACGTACTTTTTTTATTCAGTTTACTGCTGAATAACAATTACAATTTTTGTGTCGTGACATTACTTTCGGTATTGCATTTTTATCTACGCTTTGTGCTCTTTCGAGCTTCAAGGAAACCATTCACGCACTTCTATGCGGGTATATGTTTGCAATGATAAGGTGCCTTCAAATATCTGCATGGGAAACCCTCATGGTTGGTATAGTTTTTTTCGTAAGTTCTTGAAGAACTCCTGTGTAGTGTAATACTGTGCGTTGTTGGAACGTTTCCTAATCGCGTTATACTCCATTTAAAATAACAAATATAATTTAAAAGTTCTTTAGGAAATACCCGAAGTAATCGCCTTTACGTTTTATGATGGCTTTCAACTACTCTTCTCGCCAACGTTAAAAACAAGACATAAATACATGTGTGTACATACATAAACATTCTTTGATGGTAAAATATATTTTGAAGCCTTCATTGCATTGGGGAGCTGTAGGTGACATTCTGGTTCTGTTCATTCAGTTTTAAACGTAAATTGCAAAGAGAAATAATTGTTTATTTTTTAATTGTGTCGTTCATCAACTCATTACCTTCTTAATATTATTAAAGGTAAGAGTCATCGCATTACTTGGAGTTGAGGGAAGTAATATACTTCAAGTATATTATTGTTGAGGGAATTATATTACATTTTTTCCTAATTAGTCATTCCTCTTTAGCGTGCCAATATATACTTCACGAACATTCACGTGAACTCGTTCAATTCGTTCTCATACTTGCACAAACAACCCTAGCCGTTTCCTTTATCTCATATCTTGCCGTCACTACATTCATGAAGCAACAGTTAGGTTGCATCAGTGCTCGAGTTAAGCCGTGTCGTGCTCATGCGAGCGAGCAAATCCAGCCCCACTTACGGTCGAGTGGCCATTCTCGGTGGCGGCGCCGGTATGGGAGGACGTCTCGCCGGTTGCGTCCCGTAATGAGGCGGAACGGAAGGGGGGCGAGAGCGGGTGGGAGAGCGATTGGGCGGCCGAGTGGA